GGAAAGAAAACTGGTTTTACCTCTCACAAAGCCTTTGAAAATGCAGTACATGATTCCACTTCTTCTAAGCAGTATGTCAGGTTCACCAAGATGCAATTTGAAAAAAAAAAAAGACATTAAAAATAAGACTGTCTCTGTTGTAGAAACTGCAAAAATCCTTGAATTTCCCATGTAGAATATGTAGTTCAAAATAACATAATTACTAAGTATCTATTCAAGTGACAGTCTACATATCTATTACCTTTATATAAAACAGTCCAATTGTAATATTGATACTGAAAAAAAATGTGTACACAGTTTTAAACAAGTTCTTCTTCATTTAATACTGAGATATAGTATTCTAAATTTAAACCCATTCTGCAAGCATCTTTATGACAGAAGCAATCCATCTCATTATGTTATAGTAGAGAACTGTGTAATCTTCTTGGAGAGAGATTAAAGAATAAACCCTTTTTTGTTAGAGCACCCATAGATTACATTTAAAATTAGTTAAAACATTCAAATCACTTTCTTTGCAAATCACATTTTAAACCTGTCTCAAGGTCTGTCAAAAGTCTTTTGAGCAGTCTAGTCTAACCCCTGGCCTCCAAAGCAGAATTTATCCTATTTACACCATAGTTCTTGGCAACTGTTGTCTTGTCCAGCTTGTTTCTAAAACCTGTAAACATAGAATCCCCAAAAATTTTAATCAAAAGCATTTTAATGTTGTCATTGGAAAATTTGATAATATTTGCGAATAGTGAGTCTATATGTTTTTTGATGTAGTTTGACAACATTGGTTTTTTATCTACTACAGACAGAGGATGAATAGAAATTTCATTCTGTCTTATGGCTTACTAGAGAAAGAAGCTCAGAAGATTTTAACATTACTTTATCTACTGACTAAAACTTTATCATATTTAAATGTAGTAATTGTACTGTGATCTCAATATCATATAATAGTTTGACTTCATTTAATTCTGGTCTAGGATAAAGTGGACATTGATCTATCACATAGCAATAATTTCACAGAACAACATGAAACTGCATCAAGAAAACCTGATTCAATATACTTCAGAACTTACATAGCAAAGGCATTAGATTTTTCCTACACAGTAGGAAAAGTGTGAGGCAATGTTCTACTGAAGAATGCAGTTTATTACCTCCCGCATACAAACTCACATTTGCCAAGTCCACTGTTTCAGTGCCAGGTTGCCACATTCAGAAATGATTGATGCTTCCATATTTATAAAAACTATTGCACAGTACCAGAGTTGCCAAATGCAGTAGCACAAAGAAAAGTTCATTTGCTTTGGACTCCACAGCCAAATTCTTATCTCTAAATTTCCCATTCAACTAGAGAAGCTGTTATTTTGTTCTGTGTCATACATCATCACTTTTTAAAGGGTTATGAGCGCTCTTGTGGAAAACCAGTGCAGTGACACAAGATCTGCTGTTCTGTTGCACAGTGCTCCATATCACTGCAGATCAGGTTTAAAAAGCATTCATTTTTATGTTGCAGCTATCCCCATACAGCACTCACAGTCTTTACCTCAAATACTAAGAAATACTAAAAATGCAGAGATGTGCAAGAATGTTATCCTATCAAAATAACTGTCTTGAAACATGATTAGCACACAGCTTAAGTTCTCTAGTCACCTCTCCTGAAGGAAAAATGATTTACTGCTCTCCTCAATGTCTCTCCCGCTTACGAGATTAGTATCTTATTTAACTTTACTCTCACCTATCCTTCTGTTCCCTTACCAATCCTCAAAGGTCTTAAAAAGAAATAGACTCACAATGAAAAAGAAAACATAAATTCTGAAATACCCTGAAACATAAGGAAAAAAACTGTAACAGTATTCACTAGGAAGAAGTACACCAGTGGTGCAATTTGCACCATATGACCTAAGAGACATGGAATTTTTGCAACGTTTGAAAATTACCAATAGTTACTGTCAGCAGGCAGCAGTTATAGACCCACATAATTTTGAAAAACATTAGATGGTGACAAAGATATGCCAATATATATATGATTTTACTTTCAGGTAAAGATATATGCACACACTTACAGTTAAGAGATAGAAAGGCAGACAGCTGTCTCATTTCACCATACAGTCATCCTAAGTATTTGGTAGTCAAGCTGTCTTGAAGACTCAAGGTCTCTAGACTGTATTTAATGTAGAGTGAAAACACACCTCTGAAGACCTCCAGAGTCAGATACAGACTGCTTATTTTAACTGCCTACTTCTCTTTACTGGATATGTAAGAAACTGAGAGAAAATATTAGCTATTTGTTCTGTTTGGATCCAGTCCACCCACGTTGGGCCAAGACATCCAGCCTCAACATATTTTGAAAAGAGGTACGTGACAGTAGTGACAGAGTCCATGACACCTGCTCCCTTCTGTACACACCCCAACAATTCTCTTCACACTTCCTGCCCAACTCCTGAGATGTCTGTCCATTTGCCAAAGTAGCAGAAGAGGTAATCATACTCCTAGCTGCCCAGCCCAGCCTCATCGAAACATAAAGTGAATACCGAAAGATTTGGTGGTGAGATAGACACCCTGTCATACAGTGATTCAGACTGTAAAGGATCTCAAGTAGGTCTCCAGTCCAAACTCCTGCTCAAGGCACCGTCAAAACTGAATTCAGATCAAGCTTAATGTCCTACTATGTTCTAGAATTCAAAACTGAAATGAAAATATAATGAAAATATCAGCAGCATCTTATTATGGTTTCTGAATCTGAAATTATTTAGCTTGAATGTTAGTTAGCAATGGCTGGAATTTTTCAATAAAGACTGGTATGTCCAACAGCATGTTTTTCCTTAAATAACTACTTCAAGGTTACACAAGGCTTTAAATCTAAATAATACCAGAATCCATGGAACATTCTCTCTCAATTATACTTCTTTACATAAAAGGAAAATAAAGACAAAAGTACTACGGACTAATACATGTACTTCAAAAACATATGTAGTGTATAAGATATATGAAATAGATATACTTTAAAGTAGATGTTTTTAAAAAATATTTGTTTTAAAGTAAATAATGAAAGAAAGACAGTGGGAGAATCAGTTAGTGTTAGGCTACATATCTGGGAAGGATGGTTTGCATTCCTACATCAAGAAATGCTTACACGTTTCACCAAAAAAACCAAATACTATCATTCTCAAGCAGTCCTGAAACCATCCCTCTAGAAGGAGGACTAGGCTACAGAGGCAGGCTTCTTTCTTTGCATCAGTGCTTCTTGAATTTCCTTCTACACTGTAAATTAGCACTGCTAGGAGAGTTAGAAGCGCATATGTCTCATGTTAGCCTCTGACACGGTGTTTAGGGAATCCCCCTGGGCTGACATGCCATACGGTTTTAAGGTGTACTAGCTGAGAAGAGCCTAGAGCCAAACGCCTGAATAACCACTCAGATTATACCAGACAAATTCATAACTATTCCTCCTCAAAGGCATGTATGTATCCCTTTCAGGAATTCTCCCTGAATTTCCTCTCAGGGAAATTGAATGAGGGAGATGTACCCTTCACACATTCTGAAAATACTCCACTGACTAGCCCCACAGGACATAAAAGCAAGAGAAATACAGTTTTGGGGTCCTTAATTCACTTCATTTCATTATAATGTCATTTAAGTCCCATTCTTGTGAAGACTGAGAAATCTTGGGATTGCACAAGTATATTATCTAGGTAGCTAAGGGTTGGTTTTGTGCACTGTTTTTTCGCTTGGGCTGGGGTAAAGGAGGAGATATTAAAACACTGAGGCGAAGAGTACAGCCCTCACTTATGCAAAGCACAGTTAATTTCTGAGCTCTGCAGAGTCTACAGCCCTAGGTCAGCCAAGCAATACAGCATATTATACTCTTATGGTACAAAAAGAGCTAATACACGCAAGTTGAAAAGAAGAAGGCAGAAGAGAGCAAGGGAAAGATTTCTTTGCACATTTTACCAGCGATCTGCTGATCATAACACCCATTGACAGCTGAATTAAGCAGGCTAAAAGGGAAAACTCCCAGAAGGCAGAGAGCAACTTCAAGTTGGTTTTAGCATTAAACAGCCTAAATTTCAAAAAAGGGAAGTCTTTAGAACTCCAAAGTCAACTTCTGCCCATTTTATGACCCTATTCTGCTAATCACTTCAACTTCACAGGTTAAAAACAACAGAGTCACCATAAGGACAGCTTCCCAAGCCCGTATGCAGTTACCATGTTATCCTGTCCAATCAAGTGGTCATAAAGGTCATAAGTACATATCAATAGACAAAAAACAAGATGGTAGGACTTTGTCCTCAACACACGTGAACTGTATATCCCTTTCTATCACTTATGATCTCGTATCACCACTGTTTTTCACATCTTCCCAGCTCCTAACCAATTTCTGCATTAACTTATGCCTTATTAAGTCAGAAAAAAAAATGAATAGTATATGCAGGGTAATTGTGAATAGGCAAGCCAACAACCAGTCCAAATAACTATTATTTATCTGGTATCTTCCTATTTGTGCATTAGAACAACTACTGCTCAACCTACAATTTTTTTCAATTAGTTTTAGAAACTCAAAAGCTTACAAAACTAGATCCCAAAAATGAACCTCAAACCCAAGCTAACCCAAGTACATTTATAGAACAAGACAAAGAACATGGTGAGTAGGAATACTGTAATAAAAAAAAATCTCTTTTGTAGCACTCCAAGCATTAATTTTGCTTTTTAGTATCACCTAAATTAAAGAAGTTCAAGAGGAATGTCAGGTTACTGGTTTACAATTAAAATCAAAGAATCTTACTAAAACAGTGTCTTACTTTTTTGCAAATACATTTTTTTAAAGTCACAAATTTCAAAAGCAATGCAGTTCCTAATCACTTGCCTTATTTAACACTCCTTATTTGAAAGCATAAAAGCATAGTGAGAAGCTAAAAATTAGCAGATTACTTTTATTACATGCATAAAACAATCAAAGATAAAAATCAAGAAAAGTATGGAGAAGTTTGGAAACAAAAAGCAGAAAGCCTTACCTTGAAAAGCAGCTGCATTACGAGATATTAAAAATTTTAATGTAGCGCTTGATGTTTGAAGCACTTGCTGTATATCTTGCTTTGCTGCCATCTGATACCTTTCTTCCATCTTTTTAGTACAGCATGTTAGATTTCTAGAAGTACAAACCTGGAGATCACCACCTAAGGAAAAGGTAATAACGTAATTACATTGATTAATATAAACCAGAAGTATGCAAAACACAGATACATAGAAAACAGCTACTTTTTTCCTTTTTTTTCACATAGGTATTGACACACAAAAGAAATACCAAAACTTTAAAGATGTTTGGCCTCATTAAACAGAAGGGGATAACAACTAAAATTCCATGGGAAGAGTACACTTAATACAGTTAATAATTTCCTATAATTTCCCTGACACTGCAATCATGTTCCAGCTGTGAATATTGCTACCCAGCGTTGCTAAAATATATTGAATATGCATTGTACATCACTTACAGGTGGTAAATGTCCCACCCTTGGAAACATCCAAGATCTGCTTAGATGGGGCTCTGAGCAACCTGATCTAGTTGAAGATGTCCCTGCTGATTGCAGGGGGTTGGACTAGATGACCTTTAGAGGTCCCTTCCAACTCAAACCATTCAGTGCTTCTATGATCCTCTAGAATACTAAAATGCTGGACCAGATCAAGGCTCTTGTGGTTCTGTAAATCTTGGACCAGAAACAGCTAAATATTGCTAAATATTACAAACACACCAGTGGAAAGCCTATTCCCAACAGATTCATAATGAATATGCTTATATTAACTTTTATATGGAGCAGCCCTAAACTCCAGTCCCTTACCACGTCTTTCTCAAACATTCCCATGTATCCATCACACTGACTCACTCCTTCATTAATAGGTCGGGAAATGTTTCTAGAAAGAAACATGTTTTCAAATTTTGGGCACGATGAAATTCCAGAGGGGCAATTCAATACTTTTGTAACTTTAAAACTGAAGATAATCAAGAATTAAAAGACCTTATTCACCTTCCTTGTTATCATGTGGCATTTAAAGTTTTTTTTATATATATACTATATATAAACAATGCTTTCTAAAATAAGGAACAAACATATAATGAAAGAAGAAATATGTGAAAATTTAAATTATATTAATACAAAATTTAACAGTCCAGTCCAAATTTTGTTCTCAAATATGTTGTTTCACTGATAGGTATCACAAGATTTCTAGCAAACATCACTCTTTCTTTATAACTGGTAAAAAGGAAGACTATGATTGGAATGAAAAAAGTAAGAAATTAAAAAGTCAACTTAAATCCACATTGCCCTTGACTCTGCACCCACTTTCAGCTCTTACACTAGTTCTGTGTACTTAAACTTTTATTTTCCTACCACCAAATCTACAAGATTTAACATTCCTTTAAAATAATTTTTTTGCAGATTTTCCTCTGATAAATCATTCTAAGACAGTATGAATACAGCTATAGGGAAAGGGAGGCCTTACACACTTTGTATCCTAAATATTCTGTTAGTTGTCTTAAGTAAATTAGGAGTTTTAAAAAAATACATTCCAGAAACTTAAGAAGGAAAAGTTAAGCTACTGAGGGTTGGATTGGAGCACTCTAGAAGAATGGTGAAATGTTTAAATACCTTAGATCAAACTCATGTCCCTTCATCTATGTGTAGCACTTCAGCTGAACATAAGAGAAAAAGTGTAATTATCTACATACAGCAATCTCAATTCTAAAGCAGGAACTCATTGTGTTAAAGAAGATACAGCAGATTCCTTAGAAATCACATTTTAAAAAGCACAAGACCAGAATGAAATAGGTAAATTATATGAACCATTAAAAAAAAGTGGAGTTATCAGAGTCCTTGATGAACACTTGTCTCTACAATACTGCACAGAGGTAATTTGATTCCCATGACAAACAAACAAATTTCCCTTGCTAATTGCAGACAATACAGTCTTGGATTTGCTGAATATTTCCTTTTAGTATCATTGGTTTCCACCTTCACAATTTCTTGCACTCCATCATAAGGCAGATATGGAAAGGAGGACAGATTTAAACCTTCAATATTAAATACTACAGAATTTCTCTTAATTTTTAAAGGATCTTTTCTGCTTCATGCCTTAGGTCACATGATGTAGGTTTTCAGGCAAAACTATTTCGTTTTAGTGAGGAATGCTGCTAGTGAATTGACACAATTCCATATTTATAAAGACAAAAGTTTGACTATATATACAAGAACAGTTTACTGCCCATGGTAAAAATATGTGTCGAAGTAAATCCATTTTGCAGACATAAGCTGCAGTAAATATCATTATGATACAGGAAAATCATTACATACTTTAAGAAGCTCTACAACAACACAGAATTCACAAGTCCGACTCTGCCTTCATGGTGGCATGCAAAAGCAAGAACATAACCTCTGGATGTGAAAATTAACTAAAGCAAGTGATATCCCTGTAAATCTCTTTGGAGTGGTCTGCAGCAGCAGTTTAACACTCAGGGATTGGTACACCTACAAGCCACAGTGCGGGAAGCTGAACATCTTCACTAGCACAACAAAAATTTAAAACTCTACTCTTACGCAGATATGAATCACCGAACTTGTCAGAGTAAGAAATTTTATATCTTAAGTGTTATACTATATCTTTTTTCCTTGTATAGTTTAATTTTTGAAGGCTATTTATCTTCATCATTTATTTCAAAATATAAATTTCTATGTTCTTCAGTATACACAAAGTCATTTGTTCTGTTTGGTTGTTTTTACAAACCTCTTGCCATATGAAAAGTTTAATATTCCATCCTCTGATATTCCAATATAGAGAAAGAATGAAAATAAAGCTGCAAAAATAAGCTGCTCTATTAAATTATCTATTTATTAGCTACTCTAGTATTTATGTCATGCATACCAAGGAAAACGCTTTGTTTCAGAGTCGGTCTTAATAAAGCTGCTGCCTCGAAGCAACTTTATCTTTAAGGCTGCTTATATCTTAAAATAATTTTCATTATGAGTATTAAAAATCCAGTCCACCAGTGCTCAGAACCCACCTAACTACCTACAGTCACTCTCAGTGCTATCTCCACTGCATGCCCACCCTTCCCCAAGCCAGATTCCAATCCTTTTACCCCACTGACTCCAACCTCCCAGTCCATACCAGCTCTCCAAACTGAAGACCCTGGGCTGTTGACCATCCTTACCTACCTACACCATTCCTGCCTTCCCACATTCCCAGTAATAATATGGGAGCCCCTGGTGGTCTAGTGGTAAAGGCGCGGCGCTGTCACCACCGAGGCCCGGGTTCAATTCCCGGTCAGGGATACTCCCCGAGCAGATGGAGCTCATTAGCCCTCTAAAGGCAATCCATCTATGTCCTGAGGACCTCGCTGCCACCGTCCAAGCTCGCTTGGCCCCAGCAGATGAACCTTAGGATTAAAGGGCAGGCTCAGTTCTGCGCACACTGTGTCTCACCTAAAAAAAAAAAAAATAAAAACCAATGCGCAGGCTGGAAGGTGTAAAGACCTTCCCCGGATCTTCACCCACGAAGACTGGCCATTATTATTATTACATTCCCAGTCCTTGACATCATGTCCCTACTCCCAGAACACTGAAGACTCCTCTCATCCCACTACTCCTCACAAAACAACAGAATACCCTACAACAGTCCAAATCACAGACCAGGATAAAACAAAGCACATGCAGAAACTGCAACATAACTGAGAGCAACACAAAGCTGGCCTTGGGTACAGGACTGTCTGCAGGGGGCAATAACTGCAGTGCAACTAAAACTCCACAAAACATGGAAAGTAGCAGAGGCAGTACTGGACCGACTCATGGAATCCCAAAGCAACGAAGCGTGATAACTGTGATGCAAAAGATGTCTAAGTTGACATTGTTAAAAGAAATAAAACTGCAAACTTCCATTAATCCTTTTTAATCCTCTCACTCATCATTAGATACATTTGCTGATGTATTCAATACTAATTAATTAAATATTAGCTACAGTAAATGGGAATTTTAAAACCGCATACTGTTAAAACAACAAGCAGTAAACTGGACTAACATACCACCCACTTATAAACAAATTAAAGGAATGATAAATAAGCCCACAGCAACATTAACTCATCATACCAGAAAGGTCTAACCACAGGTATGACATGCAGTTCTCTCTATTTTTTTTTATTATTCCTGAAGAGTTTATCACACAAAGAACATCTCCAGTACAAGACAAGCCAACGTACAGCCTGTAGTATGCCAGCAGCAATACACCTGACAAACATCGAGAGGAAAAATGTTTATACTGACAGCAATATTCACAGTCTTGCATTGCAACAGTCTTTTTTCCTATTTGGTTACTGAATATTATCTTCTCCTTGTAATACAAGGCAACTCACTACTGCTGAAAAAAATACCAGCAGCTATCTAATCATGTAACAGACACTGTAAAATGGAGGAATGATGTTATTAAGTTGTTTGAACACATTTCAGTGCCACACCTATTTCAGACTTACTATGTTATATTCTCTATTCCCTTACACACATTCTTTTAGGCTCTTTTCTGAAAACAAAACAAAACAAAATTATGTCTGCTTATTTAAAAATAGAATCCCTCTACTGTGTATTCTTTAAGTGTATTTTTAAGTTACACGTGCAAATTGACATTCAAACTGTCAAAGTTTTTCTGCTTTTAAGACTTTCTACACTTTATTAATTAATTCATTAACTAATTCTGTTTGTGGCCTTGAAAAGGTATTTCATATTGATACGCTAACTTTTTTGTCTGAGTTTATCTCTGGAAAATGATATTGGACAGTTCACTGCAGAAAAGTAAGTTGTGAAAAGAGTGAATGAATCTTCATTGAGACACTGCATGACTGTTTTCTTCACAGTCATGTTTTCAGCAGAGAAATCAAAAAGAAAGAATTAGTCACATAACCTGATTAGAGTTTCTCCATTGGTATTAGAGTTTGTTTACAGGTCTGTCACATTGACAAATCAAACAACTTTACAATTCTTTGCACGACTTGTTTTTTTTTAAAACTCCAATTTTGCTATTCCAGGAAAGTCTTTATCTTTATACAGAAGCCAGAATTACTTATGAAGAAAGAGCACAGAGGAGAAGGAAGTCACTTACCATACTGGAAATCTAAGATAGAGGTATTTTTATATCACAA